CCAGGCAGCCAGGGACAAGTTGCTGGAATGAGAGGGAACCTGGAGGAGAGACACTGTCATGAAATGACACAGGAATCACAAGACAATCTGCACACAAATCCATCTTTTCTCTCCTATCCCTCTATATGTATTGTCTCATTTCAAAACATTGTTTAAGAAAGTTCATCATTCTAGTTTGTAATCTCATCAACCTCACAAAGCTTACAAATCCTTATCAATGTTCTTGGTGGGATGGCTTAATGATTTCCATTGTCTTTTATGTGAAATCCCTAAATGTTTTAGTTTAATGCAGTCACTTCAGCTCTGCCTCCCTTTGAGGTACATCATGTAATCCAGAAATTATGTAAATTAATACTGGCATCCCATGGGAAATGTTACAGCTAAAGATATTGTACTGGCTTGACCATGAGACGCAGACAAGGGGAGGTGCAGACATTTGTACCCTCACCTGCATCCCTGGCCAGGCAGACACAAGCAGGGTAACCATGGCATGAGGGCAAATTCTGACCCAAATGTGCCTAAATCCACTGTCCCTGGGGAGGCCACACGACCTGCTGTGCTCAGGCAGGTGCCATGGGACGAGTGGAGAGGTTTGGGAGCAGTTTAATCCATGGGTTCTCCACTTATCTGCAGGGAGGGATTCCAGCTGCTCTGAGTGCTTCCCCTACTGCTCTGCTCCTGTGCAGGGCACCCACACCTGCACACTCCACTCCTGGTGCAGGAAGGGCAGTGAAACCTGGAGAGAAAGGGCAGAGTCAGGAACCAGAACAGGAAGACAGCAAATTGAAACTGAAACCAGGGGACAAAATGTGCCAAATTAATTCTGTGGAGTTTATATGTTCCCTGGCAGAACTGCACTTTATTTATGGGGTTATTGTAGTGGTAGTCTGTGGTGCTCATACATTTTACAGGACAAGGCTCTACAAATTGCTCTCTGCTGTGCACTCCTGTTCCTTGAGAATCTTTCAAATCAGAATTAATGCATCCTAGATTGAAAGAGCCATGAAAGGACTTAAGCACCAGGAAAGAGATTTGGATAAAATTTCAGTAGAAAAAAATCTGTTTTTACTTATCCCCTCCGGTCTAGTATTTAGAATGCATAATTTTTTAACAATTTCAGCAGTAAAGCTTAGCCATGAGTCTGGATCAGTAACAAGGATAAAAATCAATGATCACAACACATACAATTTTAAATCTTTCAAAAAATTTGCCACTCTGTTTTACACCTTTACAGCTTTAACACTCCCTTTATCGATTTTCATGGGTTAATTCTGATTTCATATCCATTTTACAGTACTGTAATTTAACTCAGTGGAGTTAAATCTAGGCCTGCACAACCTAAAATAAATCTGGTTAAAACAAAAATCCAGTACCTATTTCCTTTTTTATAGCAATGCACCGGTCTTTTAATCGATGACTGAAACAATCATGCTTGACTAGTGATTATTCTTTCACAAGTATTGTGCTTTCTTTAGTACAAAAATAGAATTCAAAAAGAATAAGGTAAGAAATTAAATCTGAATTTTCTTTTCAGTTTAACCATTCAATGCCACCGTTTATTGTCCTGCTGCAGCTCTGACAATTATATACAAGCAAACAGCAATTTTAAAACCTTTAGCAAAGAAAGAGGTAATGTTTATTAACATAGTTGAGGAATACATAAAAAAATATAAGCAGCTTAGTAATATATAATCAAAATAATCAGTAAATATATTTTAGTGGTGTACACTGAAGGTTTTCATTCACAGGTGAAGAGCGGTTTACATCACATTTCCATAAAAATCAAAGTTGCATTGCTTCAGGCATGATTTCCAGGTCCAGGGCCTTTACTGGCTGTTTCTTTCTTTTTTTCTTGATTCTTATTAATCTTCTTTCACCTATTTTCTTATTGAATCCTAAAGGTAAAATTAACAAAGTAACATTAGAAGACATCCAAGATTATCAGAAATAAGAGACAAGGCTTGTTTCAATTAATCTTAAAAAAAAAAAAGAACATTGTCTTACCTAAAATCTTCATACGCCTGACCAATGCCAAGTTGTGCTATTGCTGTTCCTTTACACTGCACTTACTGTCCCTCCTTCTCTCTCTAGCTCTGTACCTCTCCTGATTTCCATCCTCACTTTGCTGAGACTTCCAGCTGTTACATTTGATCAGTCCAATCCTCGCTACCAAAAGTGGCAAGAGAACGTTTTGACCTGCGCAATATTTACCTCTGAGCCATAGCCGGGGGCAGTAGCACTTCCCATACCTTTCCTGCAGATCCTCAGACACGACTTCCTGGAGACGAAATTATTCTCGTTCCCACCACAGCCGCTGTAGCTGAATGGGCGACACCTTCCAGTGGAGAAGTTGTAGAAAAATCTCAATTCTTTGGCTCTGCAAAGCCCTCTGTCCATGGGGGTCATGCACAAGGAAGGGATAGCAGGGGGTTCTGGAAGTACCAAGAAAAACAAGGTGAGACAACACTGCAGTGTTTCAGTTTTATGCCAATATTATTTGAAATTTTTGCTGGCAAATGTAATTCTGCTCTCCTGAAAATCCAAGATACTTGGCATAAGCATCTTTTATGGTTAAAAAAAAAAAAAAAAATAGCACAGTAAAATGCCATCCTGTCTTTGGATTTCCAGCAGGAGCTTACCTGAAAGCTATACCTTTACTTGTGTTGTTAGTGATAAAATTGCCATTTCTGCTATAGGAGAGATTGAGGCATTTCAAGTGAAGCCTTTGTAGAAAGTGACGTGAAATAAATTAAATGTGGACAGCTTTAAAAATGTGATAAATATTTCCAATAATGAATGGAGCAAATCACTGTTAGACATTCTGAAATCAAGGAGAAGGTAAAAGTACCCAGCATTTCCAATGTAAGACTCAATTCCTCAGTGCTGAGTTTGTTGAATACTACAGAAAACTTGACCTAAGTACCAGGGTCTTTCAGCAGCCATTGAGCAGCTACAAAACACTAGCTTGCAACTTGCAGAATAAAAAAAGCACTGAATGTGAAGAGCAAGTGCACAAATGAATGGAGATGCTGGTGTGTTAGTGCTGCTGGCAGGATTTTACCATTCCAAGGAGAGGCTGCTGGTTTGCTCCTTCAGGGGGGCTGCAAGTGAGAACTGAAACACTGGAGGATGAACCTGAGGTAGCCAAAGGACCTGGGCACTGGAACAAGTTCAAGAAGCAAATCCATGCCAGAATTCCCAAACCTGGAAGAGCTCCATCATCTATCACCCCAGAGCGACTAATAAACAAAATAGGAACTGGTAAAATTGCTGCACAGGCTGCAAGAAGCTGAATGGGAGCCATTATGGGAGCAGTTAGGTGGAACCCAAAAGAGCACCATTTTTCCTCAGGAAACAGCAGTACTGGGTGCATAAATTCAATAAATGAATGCATAAATGCAAATGTGAAGCCGCTCAGATGGAACTCTTGAAGATACAAAGCCACACAGAAGGAGTTCAGTGGAAAAACAAAGCTAAAATTTGAGGAAATCATTTGGGTTACTGCAAAGCTGAAGACATCCTGTGGTCACAAAAGTGAGAAGCAGATGAGCTGCTGAAAGCAAGAAGTTATGCATTAAAACCTGGACCAAGCAGGAGGCTGAAAAATATTCAAAAAGCCCATGCTGCATCTTAGGTGTCTGACATATGGTACAGCTGCTAAAAAAAAAGGTTTATCTGAAATGTAAAACAGCTGAACAGTTGTGGTGAAAAAGTATGAAAAATGGCTGGGAAATAGAATGACGTGTTAGCAACCTCATACTATTTAAAAAAAAATCTGAAAATTAGAAACTGAGTAATGAGTTGCTTTTTTGATATAGACTAAGTTAGTTTCAAGTTATAAAATGAGAACCTCAACTTCTTTTCATAATTGGAAGATCAAATTTCACTCTGGGTCCAGAGTACAAGTCCACAATGTGATAAAATCTATATTAAACCTACTGGTTTTTTTATAATGAAGATGGTAGTTAAATTAACTAAAGCAATGCTTTTGGCACTGCTCTGAGAACTCTTGAGCCTGGAACTAATTTCATCTCTCTCTCTAGCTGAAGAGGAGGGTAGTTCCCAAAGCATATGTTCAGCATGGCTTGCCTATTAAAACCTGCTAATTTCTGAGCCTACAAAGAACAGAGCAGAAAGGCTTGCCAGTGAGCAAAGGGCCAGACAGCACAGGCTTGTTAATTATAACAGAGAATTCAAATACACACTTTGTAATGCAAATTACTTATCTGTTGTGTAGAATTCTCCAGGGAGTCCACAGTCCCCTCAGGAAGGAGTTCCCAACAATGACTGCAAGATTTGGGGGAACCATGGAGCCAGTGATGAGATAAACAAGGACTGCCTGTGTATGCACAGTGCACCAGAGAGCCAGGTGCTATTCAGAATCCCTCTCGTATTATTCCCAAAAATTGTTATTCCTTGCCCCTATCAGTCAGATAAATGCCTAAAATACCAAACACTGTTCCTTGTTTATCTTCAAAACACCTGCATGTTCTTCACTCACAGAAGCAACCAGCCCATGAAGAAAAACCTTAATTTTGCCACCTAGAGCCATTTTTTCCCCCAAAACCCAGTATTTTAAAATAAAAACTAAGTAACTTATCATAACTTCCTCTATCACGAAGATCATAAAATTTATCCTGAATTTTCCTGAATGTATTGATTACTAAAATACTTGACTTCAGGTAAGCAAAGAAGAAAACATTCCCTGTGTCATGCCCAGTGTGTCTATTGGCAGGACAATGTGAAAGCCTGTAAGGCAGTGTGTAAACAGTGTCACCAGGACATTACAGCAGTTGAGTTGTCTCTGTTCACCTCCAGTTCCTCAAGCTGTATTTATGGATGTGATGGAACAGAAAATTGAGCTGTTATGTCTATTCTTGAGTTTCTCTCCCAAATGTTTCTAATTTACAACCCTTTTTTTCTGAGAGTTGCTGAAAAGTTTTCTCTCCTGCTTCTTTTATGAAGAAAAAAAGAAAATAAAAGAAGCAGAAGTCCCACAAGCCCCAAAACCACATAAAAAAGAAGAGGTACACATTGTATGGTTTAAGATTCAGTTCCTATAATACAGCCCTTTCCTGAATGCCATCCCCCTGAGGTATAAACAGATGACATGATCATAATCTCTGAAAAATCAGAGATTAATCAATCTCAGAATCTCTGAAAAATGCACATCTAGATAAAGACTCACAATTATCAGAAAGAACCCCAACTCCAGGCTTTGCAGGGCTTGTGTGACAATGGGCTGCTAATAATGATTGACACTAGAAAACAAGTTTGAAATTATCTTGGGAGGAAAGGAAATGCAGTGAGCGCTATTCCTCCCCAGACACAAGTGTGTGACACTCATGAAACTTCAGGTTTATTGCCAGATTTTCAATATGTGCGGACTTCAGCTCCTCATTTCTGGTTGCAGCAAAGCGAAAATAAAAGAATCTTCAAGTGGACAGGCTATTACAAAAATAATGAGTCAGCTGCACTTGACAGTAATCCACAGGTATAAATTGGTGCAGATCCATTAAAGCAAATAGAACTGTGCCAATTTATATCAGCAGAAGATGACCCTGACTCTGTACTCACAGGACCTGCATCCTTGTGCTATTCCAAATTCGCTGAGCTGAAAGTTGACTTTTGATCCTGTCTCCCACTCAAATCTCCCAAATCAAATGTAGGTATACTGCTTGCAATTTTCTACCATAGAGCACATAAAATGAAAGCTTTGATTCTTAGCCTCACTCTCTCTTAGTTTGCACAGAGTAAAAGTTATTATAGATGTTTCAGCAGAGGGAGACCAGAACTATTTTCAATCTCTGCAGAAAGTTCATTACTGAGAGTGCTAGAAACTTTATGTCTATATCCATGGTTTGCTTTATTTGGCCATTTATTTATAGAACAGTTTATTCTTCTGAAAATCAACAACTATATTGTAAATCTAAAAACCTGATATTGTCACAGAGTTACACATAACAAAAATTTTTTTTTTCTTAAAATCAAGATGAAATAGCTTGTCAATTGTAAGGTGAGGTATTCTGTAAGAGACAATGCCTTGTAATTTTTTAAAGTGTAAATTAACTAAATTACATTTAATTTTTTAAATGTTCTTTGAAAAAGATACATAACCAGGCCAATCTACATAGCAAATAGATATTACAATGGCAGATCAATTTGCCTATGCTTGATGGACATCAGCCACTCCATCCCAAATAGTTCACCCAAATTCCTGTCCCTCACAGAAAGCTACAGACAGTCACCCTGCACGTTTGTGTGACCTGTCTCTGCCCTGGAGCTTCACTTTATAGCTGCACCTCCAGAAAGAGCAGCAAAGGAGACAATGTTCTCCGGGTCTCTGTGGAGAAATCAGCTGTCAGCTTTGGCCCTCTAGTGGGATTGCCAAAATCACCTCATTTCAGCCCATTCCAGCAGCCTGAAGGGTACAAGCTGATAAACAGAGCAGGAGGCTGCATGAGGCAGATAAGAGCAAGACAAAGGTCACACAATTAGGATGAACCTGTTGGATCTTCAGACTTTCCACTGAAATTCCCTGGTCCTTCCACAGCTGTGCTTCTCACCCAACCCATCTGCTACACTGACTCTGTTCCATCAATCTTCAGTTCTCTTTCTTTTACTCTCAAAGTCTGCTGTGCAGGAAAATTCCCTGTTGCTGACACAATCAAAACCCCTTCCATTTCCTCTGAGAAAACAGTGAAGCGTGCTCCTTTCCTGGTACAGGTTAGCTCTTTGGAGGATTATTCATACTATGACTAAAAACTTTCAGGGAATGTGCTTGCCCCTTAATGCCCCTAGACTTACTACCAGACCTGATGTAATTCACAATTTTCAGTAAAATAGGCTGCCAAAAGCTTTACTGTTTTATATTCATTCATTTAAATTACAGAGTTCATGGATGCTTGGCACGTGGCAAACAACACAACTGTACAGAAACTTTCATCAAACCAGCAGTGCTTATAGATTACAGTGCAGGCAAAAATCAGAGTACAGCACACACTCATGCTTTATTGGACACTCCATTCTAAGCAAAGAGCACAGGAATGCCACCTACACACCTGTTACCTTACAGAACATATAAAATGCAAAAACCTTAGCAAGTCTCTATGTCATCACTCAGTCCTCAAAAGTGCAAGCAAGTGCAAAAGCAAAAAACCAACATAAATACTTGGTGAGAATGCTCAGGCTCTTTCCAACTGTTGGTTGCTTCCTCTTGCACAACTGTGGATCATAAAAATGACACACTTCAAATTCAATCACCCTGCACAGTGTGAGCAAGCAGCAGCCACCTACAGTGGACAGTGTCCAGCTGCTGCTACTGTCAAAGCTTATCCCTCCTCAGTAAAAGGGAATCCAGAGTCCCATCTGCATTATAATACATAGTGCAAAAATACCTTGGAGAGACATTTTAAATTAATGAAATTAAAATTAATTACATTCATTAAAGCATTTTAAACTAATTCATACTCATTGTGGTTATACTCAATCCAAAAGTGAGGTTAATGTAGTCACAGTGGAAATAAAAACATTTTGGTATTAAATATATTATACTATGCTATGTTCTAAAATCCAAATGTCCTTCTTTAATGGATGAAAGGAATTTAAATCACTTGCCTATTAGATTCCCACAAAAATACTGATTTAGACTGAAAGAATTATGCAGCACTTCTTTTGCTCTTTGTATTAATCAGGCCTTTAGGAAGTGCACACTTTTTAAAGAGAGTGGTCAGTCTTCCACTCATTGATCTTTCATAAATATCACTAAGTTGCGACATATTCTTTTGCTTTGGCTTTCTCTGCTTATCAAATCCTTTGGCAAAGATCAAAACCCATTCTTTAGTCTCAGGAATGTTATAAAATGGGTTGAAATGGAAATGCAATCCATATAAAAGACTGAGAGCTAAGAACTGCAAAAGCCAATTCTTACCAAAAAAAATGGGGAACTGGTTGGGCTCCTCCTTTGGGGAACTGCTGTTCAGGGTGTTGGACTCCTCATTTGGAGCAGCTGGCAGTGAATTACCTAAAAGAAAAAAAATAGAGACCGTGGGTGTGAAAGAGTCAAGGGTGGGATATGCAGACACATCCAAGCTCTGGCAATCAGCTGTGATTGGTACCTGCTGGCCCTGCTCAAACCCACTGCTGATGCCAGTTGCCAAGCAACATCTCTAAGGCCCAAAGGCTCAGGAAACTCAGGCTGCTGAAGCAACTCTGCAACGAGTTCCTTTTTCTTCCTTAATTTTACTGACGTAAAATTTAGATTGCACACAGCTTGGTAAGGTTATTTTTATATTGCCAGCAGACAGTCTAACCTTTGCAATTGTAATCCTTTTGCAAAATAAGTACTGCTGGCAAGAAAGTGGCTCTGAACTACTTTTAATGTTAATGACTTCCCTGTGCTCAGATATGTCCAGTGACATACAAATAAATAGGGAAAAATCAGTGGACAAACCAAGGAGCATCAAAGGCTTGGTTATAAACAGCAAAAACAAATTCTTACCAAAAATTCCAGGAGACTGGCTGGGTGCTTCTGCTGGGGAACTGCTGTTCACAGTGCTGGGATGCTCTGATGCTGGGGAACTGCTGTTCACAGGGCTGGGATGCTCTTCAGCTGTAAGAGCTGGCAATGAATTTGTTAAATTAAAAAAAATAGCGAAAACTGCTAAGAAAAAACAAACAAAAAATGGTAACGATTCAATAGATCAAAAAATAAAAAGCTTTAATCTATTTAGGCCATGGCAACCCTCTCTTCTTGGATGTTAATGCACATTTACATGAGGTTGTCATTTTAGACTAACATCATGAAAAAGAATATTCTGCAGCTTTTAGTCTATAAGGTAAAAGTGGAATCACAGCCCAGGAAGAAATGCTTCAGCAAAAGTAGGGAAAATCCACATGGCTCTATATTTATAATTTAAAAAAAAATCTTTAGAAAGAAGCATAGTGGGTCTTTTCTACTCTAAGTGTGAATAAGCTCGAGTTCCCCTTGCCAAAATGACAGCTTAAGAAACAGTGCTGGAAGAAGGCCCACTAGAGACAAGCAAGATAAAAAGATCTGGAGGCTCTTGGTGGGAAAATGTATTCACATTATGAATAAAATGAGGCACTTGGTGAAGGGAAAGGAGCTCTGAAGGTCACTGTATGTCCTGATGCAGAACAATTCATTGGAATGAGCAGGACAAGGAAGCAAATGACTGATCTGTGGTCAGTCTGAGTGGCTTTGGTAGCCTAAGCTGCACAGCCAAGTCATTCCCAAGGGACACACAGGTGTTACAGGAATCTCTGGTGGGAAGCTAGCAATACACAGTGAGTTAAAAATTCCTCTATGGGCACCTCTTGTCATTACAAGACTTGGTTTGAAAGTAGTATATGCAGACCTATGGGTTAAAAACATACACAAGTGTTTAATGGTATTATACAGCCCAAAAAATGGCAGATTTTAGGTTAGCTGTCATGAGAAAAGTAAAAATGTAGGAGTCATGTAACATTCCTTAAATAGTAGCCATGAATCTTTTACTCCATACTTTACATTTTGGTACTTTCATTTAAAAATATGTATAATTACTGTAAATTTCATATACAAATTACTGCCACCTCAGGGCACCCTAAATTGTCTTTTTTCCATGCAAAATACCTTCAAACCACAGCATTTTTTATACAAGAGTAAAACGAAGAGTGATTAAAAACATCAACTCACAGTTGTCTTGGCAGGTATTCTGGCACTCCTCCAGACTCCTGAAGTTGTTCTGGTTTCCTAGGCATCCACCATACTTGAATTTCTCACACAATTTTGTCTCTTTGTTGTAGAAGTACCTGGTGAAATACCCTCGGCAGACCCCGGGCTCTTGGGCGTGGAAGCAGAAGTCAGGCTGTCCTAGAAACAGTGCTAAATGATGAACAGGGAGACAGAATAAAAGAACTAAAATGCATCCCAAGACAACAGCAGATCTGCAGGAAGTTTACAAAATAAACCTGTGACTTTGGGCTAAAGGCCAACTATAAAATAACTATTGTTTTTTTGTTTGTTTTGTTCTAGATTTAATTATAATAATATTTAATTGAATAATTATATGAATAAACCGGTAAATGCACTAAATGTTACAATAATCAGCAAATACAAGTATAAATATAATTATTAAATATAACTATTAAATATATTGTATCCTAATATATTATTTAATTATGGTAATTATTTAATTAATTTTATTCTATATTTAATTATTTATATTTACATTGGAACCTTATAGGGGTATTTACTGCTCTGTTCAAGTAAGCACTAAATTACATATTGCAAAAGGTCAACTAATGAGTCCTTTAAAATTCGAAAACGTTGATGTTCTGAGTTGAAAATGAGTTTTTATTCTGATTTTAAAGAAGACCTGAACCTCAGGGATTGCTTGCACCTAAGTACACATCCTTGTTATTTATGTTTCCCTCAATGTTAGCACAAAGCAATGCTTAAATAGAAGAAAAAAGGAAGGAGTTCTAATATAGAACAGAAAAATTATCTAGCAGAGAGTGCAGTTTGTCTAGGCAGTTTATCCTTGCAAAAGGATACTGGAAACAGGGAGACAGAGCAGCTATCCTAAAATATTTCAGTCCCAGCTCGGATTTTGCAATCAGTAACTACAATATCAACCAAGGAAAAGTTAACAAATAAACATTGCATAATTTGACTGAATATCACAGCATGATATCACATCCTTTGGCAGGGAAGAAAAACACAGAGACATATGACAATCCCCAAAAGTCAACTCCATACCATATTCAGTTTTTTCTTAAAATAGTATGCTTAAAATCATGGTAACAATACAGAAATATATGCAGAGGAATTCTCAGATTCTTGATAATAGTTTTTTTGAAATATGATTCTTGTCTGAGCTCACTTGCTGAGAAAAGTCTACTTAACCATCATATAAGAAAATCCTAGCAGGTGTAACATATAAAGGCCTTCCTTAGCTGTGAAAATGCACATATGCAAATATAGAGACTAAAATGGTGTGCAGCCAGCTGTCATTAAAATATATATATACACATATATATACGTGTATATATATATATAACAATAACTTTGAAATTCCTAGCATTTTAGAAGTATGTTATCAACTTGCAAAGAAGTTAATCCTATAACACCTATTTTAGGTAGGCACATATTCAAATTCATTGCTAGAACAAGATGATTATTAAAGGCTACTGATGCACATGTGCAATTTATACAAAATATCATAATAGCTCATAACGAGTGTTGTTCTAAGAATTAATTGGCAATATATTGCATTTCAATTTTTTTAATACTTCATGAACAGCAAAAAATAATTTTCAGAGATCACATGCAAAATTAAATCACTAAAATATTCTTGAATAAAGCAACCAAATCAACTGTTTTTAGCATTCCTGAATGGCTTAATTTTGATTCTTCCTTACAAATGTCATGCTCTGCCAGTGAGTGTAATCCACAGTTCAGGTGCTTCACCTCTCTCACTACACAGAGGCAGCACCTGTTGATGTGCACAGATTCAGAAAGCTAAGCCCACAGAGAAATAAATTTGAGAAACATGTGCAAAGCACATGCTGTGCTTTCAGCTGGAAACACAGGTGAGGCAGGAGCCCAGACAGGGAGAAGCACCAGGAGTATCTGTTCCATCTCCTAGGAGCTCACAGAAAACAGGAGCTGCAGAAAAAATTCTCTCATCCAAAATTGCACAATACTGTGAAATAACACAAAGGGATTATTAGATAGATATCAACTGAAAAAGGAAGGCAGGTAAAAATAAGGGTGTGCAAAGTAGGCTACAGGACTATGACAGCTTCTTAAAAACAGATGTATTTTATTTAGAATAGCCTTATATTATAATGGTTCTTGCAGGTTCTTGCAAATGAAATTAAGTCCAAATTAGATGAGCTCATAGCTAACTTTTACAGCCACTTTTGAAGAGAGAGTTCATGAGGGCAATACAATCCTAACCACACAAACCAGTACTGTACTTTTAAATGCCACATCTTTCTCTAAAGGCTCAGTATTCAAAACTTCATTAGTGGAAGCAATGGTACATGTGCAATAATGCTGATGATAGCCATGGGCTGAATTTTACAGGATGTGTTCTGGTTTGTCATTAAAAGCAGGGAATTAGGGTCAGCCCTTACAGGAAGTAGTGCCAAAGTCTGCAGCATGTGTGGAAAATCAACCTTAGTAGCTTCCACATATAATCATGACTTTTTGTAACACATTAAGAATAGAAAAGACAGGAAAACAGGAAAAGAAAAACATTATCTCATATGAAAATATTTCAAATACCATTCTGTAAAGATAGGTGATTCGATTATAGTCTATTTCAAAATGTAAATGCAAATGTTTGTGTTTCTGCAAGTTGATAAGTGCACACCCATTCAGGGATGAAGGAGAGAAAGCAGAAAAAGAGGAGCTGACTTGTGAAAAAGAGGAGAAAGCAGAAAAAGAGGAGCTGACTGTGTTTGTGGAGCTCTGGCTGCCCACAGTGGTGAGTCTCCAGTGTGCAAAGGGGAAGGGTATAGTAAGTTTTTACAAGCTCTACTCTGAGTGTTAAAGTGAATTATTCTTGTTAGGAACATCAGTTTTCTTAACAGACCAACGGTGTTCCAGTAAGGGACTCCCAATTCTTTAACACTGGCTATTTTGGAAGTCTGAAGTATCAGGAATTTAAAGTTCTGTCAAAAGTCTGTCCCTTCAGGAATGGATAACTTGCTCCCCTGTTTGATTTGCAATTAGGACATCTGCCCTAACCTCTGGTAGCTCCTCCACAGACAACACTTAAAGAGTTCTGTTTCAGAGATTTTTTTCCTACTTTTAGAAAAGTAAAAAGGGATTAGTACAAAGCATTTGGCTTGTTCTCAAAATGCATGATAAGAGCTCCCCATCGTGGCTAATTATACCATGCTTGAACCTCTGCTGAGTTCCTCTTTTTACAGAAAAAAGAGAAATTATGTATTTATTTTGTGGAGAAGAGATTGCAGCTACCATCTTCAGTGACCACAACTGTCCTCAAATTCTTTGATGAAGACAGAAGAAGATTTGGCCTAACTCATTTTAAACTGACATTGCTGTTTTTGTTAGAAGATAAATTATGTATTGTTCTGGGCTAACAAAAGAAGAAAATACACTCCTTATTGTGTAGAGAATCTTAAATTATGATGTAAATATAATTACCTTTCTTATTTTTTGCTAATGCCATCTTCTGAGGAAATTCTGCAAGAAAAATAACAATAAAAGTATTTAGCAAACGCAGACCTGTTAAGTCACACTTGTGATACCAGTGCGTTTAGAAGTGACAGTGAGCAGTGAGAAGCAAGAAAACAGAATTTCTTCCTTTTCTTCTTTATTTGGGAAGTAGCACTAAAGCTCATTGTGGAGAACTGAAGTATTATTTCCCTTGTATAGGAAGATCTGCTGTTGTCAGCATAGCAAGTACTGAAATCAAATTATACCAATTTAGAATTGAATAGGGAAATTACCCTTCTTGCTACTGCACCCAGGATCCTGCATCATGCAATCTCACTCCTCAAAAGAGGAATAATTAGCAGACTAAGAACTTGACTGCTGTAGCTAATACTGCTCATACTGTGGAGCTGGCTGAGGGAGACAGCAGGACTTCCCTCATCCTACCCAATTCCCTTTGCTCTGCCATCTAGGGCCTGAGTGAAGATTTCCTCATGCAGTTAATGATATTAATTAACTGCAACTGGCCAAGTATTTCCAGGTATTCCAGAAGGCTGGAGATGAAAACTTTGTGTGTGTGGTTCTCTCCATGCACAATCTGCAGCAAAGTTGTTATTGTCATTTTTAATGTAGGAGCCTGGGTTTTATTGTATCAGCTTGAGAAACTGGGTATCTTAATTCAACCCCAAATTCCTTTTTAGAGATGGAAAACAAACCTGTTCCTTGTAGGAGACTGTCTAATCATAAAACTGAGAAAGGCCGACAATATTTTGACAGCTGAGAGAAAAGTGGCCAGCAGCTTCTGGACTCTGCCTTAGTCACCTTATTTGCATTGCTTCATGATTCTTGTTTTGTACTTTACTGCCCTTTTGGATCATAATTCTACCCTAGTTTTCTCTGGAAACGTGCTGATGTTATATTTTCAAAGCAGATCTGTTAGGTAGAAATTCTGTCATGACACATTTTTCCTTCCACCTCTGGGACAATGCAGCTGTTACCCTTTAAAAAATATTAAAGGCATGGCACGCACTTCAGAGTGATGCAGCATTTCTTTGAACAGGTTTCCAGCTTTTCCTATTAGTAGGAGGCTTGGCCCTCAGCATTTAAACCCATGACCTAAACACGGACACGCACGTCAGGCTGTTCCACTAATCTCACTCAGCTGTCCCCTTCGGGGCAAAATCAGCAATCATACTTTGGCATGTGATCTCCACTCTTCTGGCAGAGAAAAGGAAAATTTCATTGTGAGTTTATACAGGCCTAGAATATCTTAATCCTAGTACCATGTCAACAGGGTTTTTGCTTCTGGTTTCAGTCAAAAATCCAAATCCAAGTCTGAGTTGGTTTCTTTTCTGTAAACAAAGTGTATGTATTAGTAGATCCACTCTAAATAATGGACATTAGAATTGCCATCATGACCAGAACCATTTATCAGAGCAGGTATTTTCATAGTAGCAAGCTTAAGTAGGCTAAAATTTATGTTCACTGCCTTGAAAATTAAGGTCTTTGTGCGAGTGATGACATTTGAGATTATACTCATATCCAGTAAATGATGACACCCAAGGGCAAATTCCCCTTAGAAAGTACTTTTTCATTCCCTGAAGTTATAAGCACTGGGCACAAGAAACAAAAAATACAGCTCATTTCTAGGAAGCCTGATTCAGAAGTACTCATCTTGAATCTGAGCATTGTCTTGGAGAGCCTTAGAGTGGCCAGCCTGCAGCTGGGCTCTCTCAACTCTGCTGTACTGACATCAATCAGTTCTGCCTGGTGGCTTATTGATTCCAAACTGTTAACAAGTTATCTTGACCTGGTAAGTCCTTCATGTTGGCTCATTTATTCTTGCAGTTGTGCTCAATAGTGAAAAATCAAAAACTTTGACTGATCGCATTATTTATTGTGAATTTTTGCACATATTAGATAGCTGCCCTTGAGCTTATTTTTATCAATACTGTTCTCATTTCTACAGTCACTAAATAGTCATCTCCTACAGTAATAAATACTGGAAATGTAAGTAAGATGAATACAACTATATACTACAATACTGCGCAGACTGAGTTAGAGTTAATAAAAATTCACAGAATTATACAGAGTTTTGCTGTATTATGTTAGCAAAAGGGAATAATTTAAGGGTTTACTTTGCTTTATGCCTGATGGTCTGCAGCACACTGTATGTAACACTAAATCATTTTATCTGCTCTTATCCACTCAAAGAATACAGAGATCATGAGCCTTTGTTTTTCTTTTTCCTCCACACAGATCCAGCTCTTGGAGAGTCTTGGCTCACTGTTAGTCTTACACAGAAAAATGTATGGGCTGAGTACCAAGATGTAGACACTAAGCCAGTTCTAATTTTAAATAACTTTCAGTTTTATACTATAGAGTTATGCCAAAATATGCCAGTACAGGATTTGGTCTACAAGATCTTTTCCAGATCCAACATGTGTGTCAGAATCAAAGTAACACTAGGTCCCTTCCAACTCAACTTATTCTCTGAAAACAGCAGCATCAGATGGAAGAAATAATGTGATAAATCTTCACTCATGACACCTGATTATGGCTTTTGGACACTTAATTCCAAATTCTGCATCTATCAGCCCAGCCTTTTCCCTTTTATTCCTCTGTCCTAGCCTTTAAGCTGAAATTGAGGACAAACACACCAAATTTTCTGTGGCAGGAAGTGCCAAGTTTTGGAAGAGATTCTGGCAGGTGCAAATAACCCCACTGCAAGCATGGTAAAGATGCTGTGGGTCCTGCTGAAAGCCCAACCCAAACCCTAGCTGGAAACCACCAAGAGCCAGCCTTGTGTCAGAAAAAGAGGAGCTAATTCACATCCTAGACTCCAGGCCCACCTGAAACTGAGTGCTATTCAAGGAAATAATAATTTTCAATTTTTTATCATGAAAGACTTTACTCTTTTAACTTGGTGGAGTCATAACTAGAAACAGATTCATGATCTGTAATGAATTCCTTCTTTCTTCGATTTTCTGCCCAGAAATGAGATCTGCTCCCATACAATAGTCTGTAAGGAAGATGTTAAAACCTATGATTTGAATTCTATCTTACTCTGGTATTTTTTTAAACTAAGGTATGATGAATCAAAGGCACAAATAGTATAGCTTGGGGAAGGAACAGTGTTGTAAACAGCTTTTATTCTTGCCAATTGCTAAAATACCAAATACAGATAACTGAGCACCAAAATAGTAATCTACACTTCTGGAAGTATCTGAGACTTCAACATGAAAAGAAATTCATTAGGTTCTTTCCCTTTCCAGCCACTTCAGGAAGATTTTGCTTAAGATCTGTTTCAGATCAAAGTAGGACAGAGGTTCTTGAATTTTGTATGTGCTTGCATGTAGGGCAAAATGTTTTTCATGTCAACCCTTTTTCTTCCTTTTTTTTTTTTTTTGCATTTGAAATGCTAGGTTATGTTATTTAGTATTTAAAGAATTGTGATTTCTACATACCTCTTTCTTGATGGGATGCCATTCTAATAATTAATATTATTTTAATATCATCACCACTGTGTTTACCCAGGTATTGCACCTGAAAACAGAGCAAGGCTATGACTGATCCTTGCCACTTCTTCCCTGGAGCACCTCTGGTCTCTGAGGCTTATTAGCAGGATCTGTCCAGAAACCATCAAAAGGTAAGTTTCAAATTAATCGGTAGAGTAAAATGCACTGGAAAATTGTCATCCCCTTAAAAAATGGAGTAAAATTTTTGACTTTGACCTGTTCTTAGTGAAACTCTGTAGTGTTTTGGGTTTTGTTTCCATTCTGATAGAGAGAGCTTTGTAAGCATACAGTTATTTAAAAGCAAACTTAACTAAACAGAAATTATGGTGGCACCAGCAGATCAGGAAAATAGATCTGAAAGGTAAATAATATCTTGAGCTAATACGTGGTGAGTAAATAAAATGTACGAAGTCTCCTCTTGGGAAAGACCAAAGGCATCGAGGCCAGGGCTGCTTTCAAGGTATATGGAAATGGCTTACTAACATTTGTAGATTGATAAAATTAGAGGCATTAAAACTAACAAACACTCTTGAAATACTACTTTGGGTAACGCGCAACCAGCTCCAGCCATTATTGTAACATTGCAGTGGGAGACAGATACTTTGAGATTTCTAGATAAATTTAGCAACAAGAGGCAGAGTAATTTTGATCAGGAAATACAGATGTGTTAAAAACAATTTAAAGCCTGACCTAAACACTATGTAGACATAAATTTTGGAAGGGATGGAAAAATTAGGTAAGAGACGTTTACATTTGTTGCCAGACAAAACCTGAAGCTATAAATTACTTTGTCATATATGCAGTCAGCTTTGGTCAGAAAACCCAAATAGGAGCTTCTGAAATAAATTTTTTAATCCGAAATTTCTCAGAAGTATTTTTTGTAACCCATAAGAACCTGCTGTGCTTGCAAGTGGCCCTATACTAATCCTAGAACATACAAGTCTTCTAATTTTTATCCACTTGTGTGAGGAATGTGTCCAGTGCTGAAAACCTTAATTACAAGGATGAATTTTAATAGCAAAACCAGCATTCACAATACCCTTGGTGCACATTGTGCTGTGTATAATATGTTAGATCTCATTTTCTTTTTTCCAACGACTAAATGAGGAAGTTTCAATAAAACAAAATTGAAAAATAGCCATAAATGGCATTTTTAATGAGAATTATCTTCTACTGTAGCAGTAATTATGCTGAAGCAGAGAAGATGGCCAAAATTTTGGACAACTTCTATCAGCTTCTCAAGGACAAACCTGGATTAGATATTCCAAAAGCTATAAAGAACATCTTTGTTACCCACCAGCTTAGCCCTGCTTCAGAATCAATTTCACTTAAGAACTCATGCAAAACAAGGTTCTAGCTAGAAAATAAGCTTCCTTGCCTTGGTGCCTCAATTCCACAGGTACACTGCAAAACCTACCTGTCTTTCCACACCACGTAAAATAATTCAGATGATTACAACCTACTTGGGAACATAATTAGAGGAATTGTATTTCTGTCATAATAGGAACTGAGGAGGGTTTCTACTTCCCCAGTTCAAGAGAAATAACAGCTGGAAATGAAGGCTTGGTAGGAGGGTGAGAGAATGGGTACTGGCCTTTTGGCACACACTTCTCCTGGCATTCCTCCAGTGTCAGGAAGTTGTTCTCATTGCCATGGCATCCACCATACTCAAACACCTCGCACTTGCGGCTCCTGATGCTGAAGAAATAGCGGATGTGGATGGCTTTGCACGGGCCCTCGTCTGCTTTCATGGCACAGAAGGAGTGCACCAGCTTCAGTGGAGGCAAACCAGCACCTGGAGCACGGGGGAGAAGCAGAATAGCTGAGTTAGTTTGCTGCACACTGCAGGGTGTAACTCCCAGATGAGGCTGCTTATGTGTTCTGCTAGAAAGGCACTGCACAACATCTGCCTGCAGAGCTCCCAGCACACTGAACAGATGTCAAAAGAAAAACATCATCTGCATTGGAACACAGATTCCTTTTGATCAATTCAAACGTGTGGCTTCAATTTTCCACCAAAACAGCTCACAGTATAAACTTCAACTCCTCATCACAAACCTTTAAACAGTCATGGAGCGTGGCTGAGTCACAGGAGCTGGGGTGCAGTGCTGAATAACAAAAAGACACAAAGACCACCAGGGCAGAAAGGTTTTCTTAGGCTCTCTTCCATGCACTGCTCCCAGAAAAGTTGGCTTGTAAGGTTTGCCAGGGAGCAGTGTGGGATGGCCAGAGGCCTGCAGAGGGCATCCCTCTCCTGTCAGATGGCACTTCTCTGGGACACAAACCCTGCTGGCACCACTGACAGGCACCAGACTTCTTTTCCTTTCATCCCACCGTTCTTGCATCACAGCTTTCAACAGCAAACTAGAAAGTCAAGACAAAACAAAGCTGAACGTTTTCAAATTGTGCCATTTCTGTCTTTCAATATCTACTAGGTCAGGGAATGTTCCATATAAATTTTCATAGGCATTGTGAAGAACACTACCAAAGTTTCACCCTGTCAATGTCTATAAGGAAATTCTGACCAACAATCCAGTTCCTGATACCATTCCCTTACAAATATATGGTTTACTACATATTTCTGTTTTGCTTTTCCAAGACAGTATTATATCCTAGAGGGTTTTGAAAGCTCTACAGAGCTTTGTGGGCTTGCCATAGGAGCCAGAAGAACAGACCTAAGGTTCTTCATTCATTCTCCTACAGCTGATGTCTCAGAACATATATGCAAACATATCTATCTGTGCTCTTTGCAGTGGCCCAGGAAGGAGACAAAAAAAAGGAAGAGGAGAAGAGTTTACATGATCATGTAAGAAGAGTTTACATGTTTACATGTAATCATTACAGATTCCTACTTTTACTATTTTAGCTTTCCAGTTTTAACTAAAGGAATCCACAAAAATCAGTCTTTATGACATGGTTAAAAGGGAACTTGTGTACTTACCACCCACCTGCTCTGTGGATATCTAATTTTAGCAAATTAGACAAACTTTGAATTAAAATCAAGGAACTGAGATAAATCCTCATAAGTACTGAGGTCCACAGAAGTTTACTAGTTTTATTCCATTTGAGCCACTTATGACTATAAAACCTCAGAAAAGAAACAAATTTCCGCACTAAAATCTTTTAAACAAAAGTATATATGTCCTTGAAACACTAAGAACCTCTATTACACAATAACTACCAACAGAACAATCAGAGCACACAATCAGGTCTTCCAAAAGTGGGCCATTTGGTATTAAAATACATATAAAAAGGACTAATTAAAAAATTCTACTTAAATATTCAGTCCCCAAAATAGTTTGTGACTTATGCCATATTGGTGAAAATACATTTTCGGATTTTGAAGCTGGGTATATATATTTGAAAATATTATTGAAGACCATACAATAGGAAATATTGATGAAATAAAATTAATAATTGTAAGAGATGTTAGATTTGGTAAACTTGCTGTCAAGCTCAGCTTGCCAAACAAGATTTCAGAATTCATTAGTTGGGTCTTCCTGATCTCACAAAGATTTGGTATTTAGAAGTCACAATAAATGCCAAGTTGGACTTCAAAGGTTCTAAAGTTCTCCAAAAGGCATAGGAATCCTTTGGAAGGGGCTTAAAAAGGCTCAACTTAAAAAGCTGAGAGAATACTGCATTGCAAAATGAAATTTTGGATTTCCCCTGCTCAGTACCAGGGAAAAAAATGCCTTCAAAACACCAAAGTTTTCAGTAAGTTATGAACTCACTTCTGAAATGTTAAATCAAACACTCAGAGCTCCACAGAAACCAATCCAGCTCAGATGTGGTGGGGGTGAGGGCTGGCAGCTGGTCTATGAACACATCATTTTCTTGGCACCCAGAAATGAGATCCCCTCTGTGACCTCTGCCAGTGACCCAGTTCAGTCTACAAGAGGTTGTGAAAACTCACCAGGTTTCCTAACCACCGAATTTTCAGACACACAGTTATGTCAGCTCATTTTCTTGCTGCATTGCACCACCCCAGTGTGGTGGGCTGTCCAAACAAAAACAGCATGCAGGCATTGTTGCAAAACTACACCAAGAGGATGAACAAATGGCTTAGCAGAGTTCATCCTGGGAACTTCCTGCTCTCCACTCCTAGCCCGCTTCCCACCAGACCCACGGAACAAAATCATTGTTTTGGTTACCTCCTAAGGCCTTTCCCCTGCAGTCACAGGGATGCTGCTAACCACTGTCAGATGTCCTGACATCTGCTGAGAACATAATGACTAACTGTGTCACACTTCTTGGCAATCACTCAGGTTCCTAGGAATGCTAGAAAGCTGCCATAGTTTGAGTAAAATCTGTACCCTATCAAAGCCCCAGGGGCCAAATCCTCCAAGTCCAAACAGTAACCAAGTGACTCTGAAGAAAGAGCTCTCCAAGGGATTGGTCGGAACTGAATCATTCTTCTGTCTGGAAACAGTGAAAGAATTCTTCCCCATTATTTTACACCTGGGAGCACTTAACTCACACAGATGATATAAAATTAGCTTTCCTTCTCAGATTAGAGCAGCAGATGAGAAGGCAAGCGGGAGTATTTGCCCACAGACACATATCTGCCTGTACTTGTTTCATTTGTGGAATATACCTTGACAAAATTAATTCTTAGTATAAGGACTCATCCTCTGCTCTTGAACACTGGGACAAACTGTTATTACATTTGAGGTGTTAAAGGCATAGGATATGACATTTAGTGAAGATGTCTGTCAGGAAAGTCAGTGAAAATTCCTCAGCAGAAACAGAGGAAGATAACACTTGAATGAATGTTAATGGAATTTCTCATCCAAGTAAAGTAAAATTCTGAGCAATCTGAAGCAGTCAGCTCTAGGATTTCACTACTCTCCTTGTATGACAGCCCTTTTTTTTGGTAATATGCTGCCTAAATATTCTTCATTATATACTAAATAATTTTTACTTCATGCATAGACAAAATAATTTAAACTCATATATATATACGCACATGGTAAATCAGTTTCAACTTTCCAATTCACCATCTGTGTCTTGCAATTCAAGTGTGCTGCAGAAGAGAAGGTTGTTTCCTATACTCTCAACCTTGATTTTGGGCTCTCCAAGTTCAGTTGCTTCCCTGGCTGCTTGAAGCCTTGGTGGTGCAGCAGCTGCCCTGCACTCCCAGCACCAGCTCAGTAGCCCAAACCTCTACCTATTCTCTTTTTATTGGAAGATTTTGTCTCCTCTTAATTATCTCCATGCTAAATAAACTCCTTTCTTCTCATCTTTTTGTTGGCCTTGCTTTCTAATCCTCTCATAACTCTTATTTGGATGATTCCTATTGGTCTGGATCCCTGGTAAAATGTGCTGCTGAGAGTTGAATATAATCCCCTACCTGACACATTACTAGTGGCAAATAGAGTGGAATAATTGTCCTTTGGTTTCTTCCTTAATCCAACACAAAATTCCTTGCCTTTTGACATTGATTTTAATACTAATCACTTTAACATTGAATTAATTTTGTAATGCTCTGTAACTTCCATTGACTTTCTAGCAAATAGAGCCTTGTTATAAAGGTGCTTCAACATTAATATTCCATCTTGTATTTATGACTGCATGAATTCTCCTTCTTAAGTATAGCACATTGCATGTGTCATTTTACAAAATTAATTTAAGCCCCCATGTTAGATCTAGTTCTGTTGGATATTTATTAGTCATCTAATTTAGGTACCTGGTCCAGATACATTAAGAATTCCTTTATAATTGTAGGACTGTACTAGCTAGAGCAAGACATTTTGTTATAAATACACTAAATAATGATTACAGCTGATATTCACTGTCACACAAGTTATTATTTCCCATACTAAAACTGGAAAAAACCCAGCAAAATCTCCTCTCCCTTTTCTTGAACCTTTTAATGTAATGGCTCCCTTACATGAGCTGCGTGAGCCCTAAACACCCATTGCTCTGCGTAACAGTCCCTGCACTCCCCAGTCTGTGTTAAGACCCAAAGTAATGCCCATGAAATGGCTGACAATGAGAATGAGCTCATTGCAGGTATTTTTGGTCACTCCTTTCTTCCTCCAGTCCTTCATCCTTCCTGCTTTTTGCAGCTGTCAAACAAGATGGGGCCAGGACTGTTCCTGTACAGCACAGCCGTTCTCACCTTTGCTGTTGCTCATATGACAATTTTTGCCACTCAAGGGGACACCACTCTCATTTCAGTGCAGTTTGGACTCCACTCTCATTTCAGTGCAGCCATTTCACTGAGAGAGCTCCAAAAAGCAGCAGGCAGTCCTGATGCTCACCTGAGCACAGGTGATCCAGGCAAGGCTCTGTTATCACTTCACTAGAAAGCAGGGCAGTGCTACAAGAGCAGTAGTGAATGATGCCTCTAATCCTCTTACATTAGTACTAGTGAAAACAATACCTTTCCTCTGGATGTAGGCATAACAAAAGGCTCTAATTTGGCTTTCAGACTCTTGTGGATGATCTGCATGGCTGCTTGATAAAAATACTTCCCTGTAATTAGGAAAATGAACTGATTTCCATACTGCACCTGAAGCACAATAAATATGAAAGGTAAGCATTATGGAGGAGCTGCTTTTCAGAACCGAGAGATATGAATTGGGAGAATAAAGATCACAAGTATTTATGAATTTTTACGTAAAAATACTTTGTTTTAGTTTGCTTAGGTTATGTGTTCTTAACTTTGTAAGAATTTCCATGGTTATCCTTAATTATAAAGATATGCTGTCATCTTTCCAGCCTTCCTTGGCAATGTCTCCCTTTGATAAGTGGTATCAATACCAAGCACCTTGTCACTAATGAATAGCTGTTTCTTTTCTCTCCATCTTTGTCAGTTGACAGCTTCCCACCCACACACTGTTCAGTGCTCTTCCTACCCTGTGTTTCCTACATTTTTTTATAGGCAGGCACATTTATTCTTGCCATGCCTTCACTTATGAATAAAAAGCACATTCAATTTGTGAGTCATTTTCTTCAGGCTTTGGAACATCAGCTACAGTGCTGCCTACCACATAAGGGATTGATGAACAATATGCATAACCTGGTTATTTTTATACCTTTCATTTTTGTTATTACACTTATCTATTGATGGAAAAAATGACAGATTTTGCTGGAAGAGAACAAATTAAAAATATTTTCATTACATTGGGCTTGACCCTGCAATCTTGATTATTACTGCAATTAAAATAGACAAAAGCCCACTTCTTAAATTCACAAAGCACATATAGTCAATGTGATCCAAAAGTATGACATTAAAAATAATGGATGCACAGAATTAATTTTATCCTTTAATAGCTGAAATTTATGGAATGCTGGGATAAAATGTCATTGCTTTATAATCATCTAACATCAAAAACAAATGTTATCAATGATATTGGAGCCCACAAAATTTCAACATGTAATATCTGAGTCCAGAAGTTAATCTTGAGAAACCACAAATAAAATTTTAATTAACAACAATCTAAATATTTAGTGAAAACAGTACAGCAAAAGCTTTTTTATTATAAACACTACAACTGAGTCCTCAGTAGTCACAAAAACAGGATCCTAGTTTAATATCTAAGCCTCACATCTGATGGGTTTTTACTTCAGAATTAAAGCCAGAAGTCCAGAATTGTTTCTCTTGCTAAATCAGTTAGTGGTCACATAATCCTAAGTAACCAGTTGCAAAATAACCATTGAAAAAATAATCCCCAGTAAAATGACTATTTAATTTCCTTGAGATTATTTACTTATTTTCTTTTATAAACAAAGAAAATAGAGAAAAAAATTAAGCCATCAGATTTCTTGTTATGGTGACAAAATGTACAAGCTGGTTTGGCCTTCACGACCTGCAAGCTTGGCTAAGAATTTATACATCACTAAGAGTTGTGGAGCAAAGATAAATGTGGCTTTGCCCTCAAACAAAAAGGGCATTTTTGTGCTTCAGAGTTTAAAAGAAACAAGTTTGTTCTGCATGAACCAGTCTTTACTACTCAGCCATTCTAGTCATACACTTCACCTGGAACAGCAAATACATTAAATTGTAGTGACTAATTGTGACACGGTGCTATCTTAGTATAGCCATGACTGTGCACAACTACTATTTCTGGTTCAAAGAACACTGCTGCAAAAGTCTGATAGAGAGAAATAATCTGGATGGAAATAGGACAAAAAATAGAAAAAAAGGTTCCCCTTAGCTTCGCTTTCATTTGCGCTTCAAAATCAGACTTATCAAACAAAAGCATCCACTCCAGAGTCTTCTGCAGCTTAGGGAAGTGATCACAGTTTCAAGTCACTTCCTCAAAGGAAAAAGGAATATTTTAGTGTGGCCCCAGCAGAGTATGTTTCCCTCATCTTTCTCAGAATTGTTTGGGAACAAATTGAAATACCCTTCGCAATGATATCCAGTCTAGAATTCTGAGAGATCTTAATTTCAGTGAAGTAAACAATGATCTTACCATGGTGAAAAATCAAGAACCTCCCCATTTCTAACAGTCACACTGGTTTTCTAACAAAAATTTTTGACTGGTGAGTTTTCAGTCATTGAATTGTAGAATATCCAGAGCTGGAAGAGATTAACAAGGATCAAGTCCAACTCCTTTATTTATTCAGTGATATCAAATCCCTTGGGCAATACAAAGACCTTCAGTTAAGGCCCCAAAAAACTACCAGGACAGTAATTGTATAATCTTTAAATCCAACTTTGCAAATTAACTGTGACTCAAGAATCTGTGCATGGAACAGAGCAACATCAATCTACAGTGGTATTAATCATATTTTTGCTTTTTCTATGTGAGGAAATAAAGCCTGAGTAACCAGCTCTGTTTCCTTGCCTGAACGTTGAACTTTTCCATGCTGCTAAAGCAGAGCTTTAAAGGAATCATCTTGACATCTAACCCAGTGTTTGATTAGGATTAGATGTTCCAAATAGCTTGGTAAACAGAAGCCCCAGCAGAAGGCAATTTTGCTAAAGCTTAATAGATAATTATAAGCATCCCTCCTAGTTATACACCATTTTTAGCTGAGTCCCAATTTCTAAAGTTTCCCACAAAAGTTCTAAAGTACAGAATTACATCTGTAGTGCACTTTAACATAGTGGGCATTGTTGTTTGAGTGTTTGGGTTTTGTTGGTTGAGTTTTAGGTGTTTTCTAGGATCTCTTACCCACAACATGCTCTTCTTTGCTGCCATCCAGCTCAGCAGTTGTGTGCCCGGCGATACAGAAGAGCAGCAAGATCAAGGGTGAAGGTGAGGAACATCCCTTCTTTCTCCCCTTCATTTCTCCTGTGTAACATAAAAGTGAGAATTGACAAATTCAGTCAGATTCCTTGAGCATTCTGCAAAAGTTAGTAGCAGGGCAGTGCAGAGCCCTGTGGGCAGACACACAGACTGGGAGCTTTGGAGACAATGTGAGCTCTTTTAGGATAAGCTTCTTGTAAGCACAATGAAACGCAAGACAAGGATTGCAAGTCTCCTGTCCCAGCTCCAGTCCAGGTTAGAGAAAATGCTACTGCTTTCATTCTAAGCCCCAGCTGAAATCACCTCCTGGAGCACATCATGACAGAAAATGTAACACTTGGTACTTTTAATGTCCTGGCCATTAATTACACAATGTAGTACTGCTTGCCAACTCAAATCATTCCAAGTTTTACTCCATCTGCAGAACCTAGATTTATTACCACAACATTTTCAAACAAATGTTTAATCATTTTATAATTAGCAAGCTCCCAAATTACTACATACCATTTCAGAGGAATCAGTGAACTTTTTGCAGTACAGGCTTCAGCGCCTTCAGCAGGATTTTCTATCTTGTGCATCTCTTTAATACTGAGAACCTCACCTCTGAACTCAAGTTCAGAGCTATTATTTTTCACTTTCGAGTAGTGCAATCATTGACAGACGAAAAACACTTTTATTCCATGGCAGCTGGCATGTTCAGGTTGCTAAAGATGAGGTTATGCACGCACACATGAAATTAACTTCAGAAAACTTTTGCTTTAACTTTTTTAGAAATTTTTATTTTCCAACTAATTAAAAGTTCCTTAAGGATCTCTGGATTTTATCAGAGAATAGACCCAATATCTTTGTTACCAACAGATTAATTCCCTATTCATAACCCCTAGTTCCCTACCCTCTTCTCCTAAAGTAAAATACATTTTTTTGTTATGTTAATTAATATTAAGTAAATAAAACTTAAAATCTAAGGGCTAGGAAGTTCCCAACCTTCAGACACTCTTTGGTCTTGAGTGTTTTTGTTTACATGTGAAGACAGCATGCTCTTCACCAAATCAGGGCCACAATTCTCATTTCTCTCTAGAAAACTTACCAATTTTTCCCTCTTGCACACTCAGTGTTTTCCCAGCTTGCAGCATATCATAAAAAGAAAATTAATTCTTAAAAACAACTCTTGGTGAAATCATGAGCAGCACTATTTAGGTAATTTTTAAATTTGACAATGCCCTTTAGAAGGCTTCAGTATATAATGTAGGGAAAACTACTGAGGGTTCTTCCTTTTTTATAATGGAACAAAAGTTTTGGTTTTAAAGGAATTTCTTTTTTAGCCAGAAAATATGACCATGGTAAATTCATCATAATGCATTTCTGCCAAAACAAACAAAAAATTGCATGTCTTTGATTCCTTCTAGAGCCAATTATTAAGCCTAACTTCTACAGGAACAAATAAAAGGCTTTATCCACATACAGTTTGGCAAAACACTGTGCAAACTAATACAGATCTCATTTTGTGCTTTTAATCATGATTTTAAAATCTTTCCTCAAATACTGTTCTTTAACTCTGCAAACAGAATTGCAAATTATTGCTTTCTAGCAGAGATGGAACAACTTCTCTTGGATTAGAAACCAATGCACAAGTTTTGAAATATCCCTAAATGGAAAAAATGAGCAAGAGCTAGAGTATTTTTCAAAGAAATAGAAATAGCATCCTTTATAATAATTCTAACTGGAACTCCAGTTTTACAATCCCTTATATACAGTTTTTTAAATACAAAATAGACAATAACTCTGTACATGGTAACCTGAAGTAGTCCAAGACTGTGATTTGAGAGACGTCTGATTTGTGATGTTAGTATGACATCAGCTGAAATTAAAATAAATCCACAACTAATGAAGATGATACGGAGAGAAACATTAAGTAAAAAAACTCAAAGAACTGCACAGACAATTATCATTACAATATAAAAAATTTGGTGATCATTTGACATTGTCTAGGCTCACTTAAAGCAAAACTACCATCAAATATTCAGATTGGATACTTAGATACAAAGCAATAACTTTCCAACTGCCTGGTTCCAGTGAAGTCACTGGAATAAAAAATTACAAAATACATTTGTAGTTTTTGAATTACATGGGAAAGAGAAATTTCTAGCAAATTGTTTTCCTTAGAAGTAATCATTGGCCCACTTGTGGCTCTTCATAAAGGAAGTTGCTATTATCCACATGGATTAATTCCATGTTTGTCCCTGAGCCCTCATTTTCCATGTTTGAGTTTTTCCAAACATGCCATCAAAACTCTCACTAGTTCAGCAAAAATCTATTTGAATTTGGGTTTTTATCACTTAAGCTGAAGCTTTGGTTCCTTCTTCCAGGAATCCACAGAGTACAGATTTAGATTGCAAAATGTAGTAATTGGTTTTTAGTGAGTTATCCCATATTCTCAAAAGCTTTTCCCCAAGCAGAACACAGGCAATGAGGCAGAAATGGAAATCCTTAATAAGTTCCTATTTTCTTTTAAATTTGGAAACAAAATTGTGTGTATCGTGAGCTACCATACAGCACTGTCATTGCATGTTTATGAGGACAAATTACTGTATTTGTACAGAGAACAAAACCCTTCCCAGGGTACAGTATTTCTATTCTTCCACTCAACTCCTACATTTCCCTTAAAAGGAAGGGTCAAAAGTGTGTCAGAAGTGGGGCATCCCCGTGCTTGGGCCAGTTCCCGACAGGAGCCATGCAGGCTGTGCAGCAGCATATCTGCCTTGCTGCACGGCCTCCTGAGCAAACACAACCTCCTCCATCTTCCTGCTGCCCTTCCCAGGAGGTCACACAGTCCCACAACATTGGGTCAGCTTTGGGGGGAGGTGGGATGAGTGGGGCGAAGGTTTTGGTCATAAAATCCTTAAATCCTTCCGTAGTCTAATTATTTCTTATTATTCCTGAAGGAAGAATAAAATCCCAGATCAAAGCGTACTTGGCACTGGATTTTCAATTAAAACCCAAACCCTCTAGAAAAAGTCCAGGTTTTCTGACTGGATGTTCAGCTGCCCAGTAACAGAACTTTAAAGCTGTAAGCCTCTTATGATACTGGTATAATTTTTTTTTTTTTTGCACTCTGATTTTTTTGTTGTATTTGTATGGAGTGAAAAATTCAAAATACTTAAACTATGATATTTGGCTCAGTAAAATGTCAAATGCACACAATGGTGAAAAACTGTGTGTAATGAGAAAAATAGGAAATGTTTCAATTTTAAACAGGTCATGTTTAACTGTCTGATTATTTCAGCCACATTCTGAAAACTTCTGAGAGTAAATAAAGCCTTTTCCTTCAGAAAGATTCTAGCTTAGGACAGCCAGGTATCAGTCCAGCATTAATATTCTACATCATCATGTCATTAGTGTATATTTCATACAGACAATTCCTTAGGAACTGGCATTCTACTGCTCCAAAACTCCCCTATTTTTTAATGAGCCATTTTATAACAGACAACAAGAATTTTACTTGACAAAGGAGATCAAAGGTCTGTGGATAATAATTGGCACTGATTTATTTACTGATTTAATTAAATGCTTTCATTTAGTGCCATTAGCTTCCTTCAGGCTGAAATACAGGTACCCAAGGCAGACCACAACCAATCAAGGAAGCTCCCACTAACAGATCCTCACTGCCTGGCCTTTTAGCCAAGAGCTTTTCCTCCTGACACCGAAAATAAAAATAGAAGGAAGATCTCAAGATGTTTTTTGCCAAAACCAGAAAAGTATAAACTCAGTGTCTTCAGTGTCTTGTCCATTGCAGCGACAGGACTTTTTCTCTTTTTTTTTTTAACCTAGCAGTCTCTTCAACACCAATGTTTCTAGTTCCCTGAATGTTTAGTCACAAACTTCTTTTTTTTTTTTTTTCCCGTATGGCATTTATCTCTAACACGCTAACTGGAAAAAGAAAAATAAAACTAGCATTTCCCACAGTAGCCAAAAAAAGACATCCTTAGAAAAAGGCCTAAAGTGACATTGCAGTGATGGTAAAAGTGACTCATTCACACTGACAGCCCAGGAAACAAAAACACACACTCACATAAAAAGGCAGAGGTTGTAATTAAGTAGAGGAATTAATAGCAGAAGGTAGGATGTGCATGGCCAGAGGTCCATTTTAGCACAGCCTAAAATGAAGGATTAAAAGGCCTAACTAGACAGGATTATAGCACTTCTGATATAAAAGCAGACCTTTTCAGTTCACTGCAGTTCAGAGGGATTGTCTTTGCCCTGTGATTTCTTGCTCTGCCTCCTAGGACCCGTGTGACACAGCTTTCATTAGTCTTATCTGCAGCATTGTCTCCCAGCTGGCAGAGTCAGTGTTCCCTTTAAAATTATTTTATTACATGTGCTGGTCTGGAGCTGTTTTCTCATTCCCTCAGCTGTAAATATGAAGAGTGGAGTGAGCAGGAATTCCATCACCTCTGTTCTGATGGTGGTACCTGAGTCAGTGATGAGCTGTCAGTTTAACTGATTGCCACCAGAGCCTTGTGCTGGCACAGCAGCTTTGTAAATTCAGGCAGTGCACTGTGAATCATGAGCATGCAAACATTACTGACTGAAAGCAAACCTATGGAAATCCCACTCCCATCTCAAATTATTTCCTTTTTTCTGTGCCCTGCTGTGGCAGCCTTCAGCCTGTGTCAGTCCTGGGACCAGGGACTCCATCTGCTTCCTCCAAGAACTTCAAATTCCTTCTTATCAGGAAAGAGAATTATGGTTGGTTACCTACCTCTCACCATTCAGCATAAATGCTGTGCTGCTGCACCATTCCAGTCTCTGAAATTACCTAGTGAGAACTGGAAAGTGAAGTGAAAACTGGCAACTATGGAGAAAATTTGGAAAAAGCTAATGTTTTTATTAGCTTTTATGCTAAAAAGATGTATAACCTGATGTCACTGATTCAGATTTAAATTCCCACCTTCCTTCTGGTTTTATGAAGGTTATAAATGCTGCTTTTCAAGAACACTTGATAAAATAATTGGAAGCAAAAACCTTGTCATATTTTAAAATGGAAA